AAAAAAACGATGTGCGGAAACAAATACTACACACCAGTCAGCATAAAAACAATCCAAGCAATAAATGATCCAGAAAACAAGTGCCATTTATCCAAAAAATATCCATTTCATGAGATAAATAACCTTAATTCAATTTATTTACATCTGAATGAGTTCGTAGTTTAGCAGTCACCGCTACTGCGCATGCGCAGATGGTCTTTTTCGCGTAGTTTTAGCGTTGATTGTTTTTAATGTAATTTAACCATTTTGTGTTTTGAAAAAAATTTTATTTCATTTTTTGGTACCTGAATATATGCTGTAAACATCTTGTATAGCCATCTTACATAACTACGTCGGCCATACGAGTTATTTGTCAGTGAATATGGGGTTACCTGAACATTTTATATAGAAAAGCATATGGGAGAAAAATTTCAGGCTTAAATATAAAACGCTCTAAAAAATAAATTATTTTAAATATGCAACTTTTCGGGCTCAATTTATTAGTTTTTAGCATAGTTCTTCACAATAAATTAAAAGAAAACAAAATCTGGGAGGGTCATGTTCCAATGCCCCTATGTTATTTTTCTGATTCTTACAGAGACTGGTACTTAAAACGTTACAAAGAGTCCAATTGAGCGGGTTATGATATCTTATTATAGCGAAATATTGTATTAAAGAGCCCTTAAGATGTTTGCATTGATTTCATGGCAAATAATTTAATTCTTGTGCAATACAGGTGGAAAGATTACAGACTGTAATTTTGTGCAACACGACAAAAAGATCGTGGTTGTAAAAATACTGAAGGATATGCTCGACTACATTATAGAGAACAAGCAAATTGTGGAACGCTTCTGAGAGAGCATTTGTGCGCTTTTCATTCCTTATTTCAGTGGTGTATTGAGAGTTCTTCTTGACAAAAATTTGCCTGTATAACTTTTATCTTTAAGGCGGATATGCTAAAAACTTGGACATAATAACGTAATTTTGTCCATGCTAAAAACAAAAATAAATAAATAAACGGATATATTTTTCAGAATTGCCGAAGTTGAACCTTGAACTAGCAACAAAGAACTACCTCGGGGGCCCTCTGGATTGGACAAAAATCCACGAAGATGTTCAAGCAGCCATTCATAAAATGACAATCCCGGCAAACATTTCTAGACTTACACTGGGCGAGGTAGAAGTGTACCACGGAGTTGAAGTTATTGAATTTATAATGGATGAGCCTAGAGAACTTGGCCTCTGGACCACAGAGGCACCAGACAACAAACGCGTACAGAGACCTAAAGACAGGTGTCATATTATGTAGAAGCATCCTGTATTTGAAGGATTTTTGTTACCGTCCATTTTAAATGCAAAAAGAAAAAGAACAGTTGATCGTTGAAATCATCGATGCGTTGATAACCTGTACGTGCACGTGTCTTTTAACTTATCAGCCATCTAACGCACGATGGCGTTTGGATTTTATATACTGTGAAACGAAGTGTAAATACTAATAGAATGGTCCTGATGTCGTTTCAAGTATAAAACACACGGCATATCCAAGGGATCCATCATTAACTTTTTATGACGTACTATGCATGACTGAAAAATGAATTTTTCAGTTCAGTTTGTGTACATGTGATATGAGCCTTCCTTGATATAACTGTATATTTTATACTCACCGATTCTATTGAGGAAAGTTAGAAATGAACAAAAAGTATTATGATCGAAAGTGTACCACACCAGATCTACGCATAACAAAGACCTATTCAATAGCGACGTTATCCCAATACTAAGAAATACTACACAGAGAAGTATCAATACAAGAGCTTGGTGCAATAAACGATATAGGACCAATACCAGATACTGGGGAGGGCCTAGCTGGCTTGTATCTTCCCTTAGTTTCTGAACCTTCTGAGATTTGCCAATCCCCCCCCTAAAAAAAAACTATTACAATATAACAAGCAAAGCGAGATGAAACTCAAGACTTTTCAACCCTGTGTCTTACATTATATATAGTAAATTGTCCTCGTCGACTTTTTTTTTTGCTAGTCGACCAGTTTTACCTTTATCTCTCCTCTGCCCCAAACAAAACCCTGGATCCGCTAGTGAGGACAAAAAGTAATTTGTTTGCTGAAGACATCTTGTTTGATTTTATCATTGAGCTGTCTTGGAGATGGTAGATGGTGTCATGTTGTGTACCAGGCCTGTAGCCAGCAATCTCAAAAGGGGGGCGTCTTTTTCTGAAAAACTGGACCTTTTACCATGAAACCTTCGTGCACCTAGATAAAATTTTACCCAGAGGGAACCTTTTCCTGGCAAAAGGGGGGGGGGGGGTCTTTCGAACTCCCCGAACCACCCTGGCTACGGACTCGTGTACACAACCCCGAAAACAATAATTATAGTCGAAGGAGAGAACTGTGGTAAAATTGGACTTGAAATAAAGAATCTGTTTTTTTAATATTAATTTTGTGGGCAGAACTTGAGTTAATGAATACGAAAACACCACAATTCTAGATTTAACAAACGCCAAAGGGAACGTACAGATTTTGTGGCTTTAACAAAAAAAAAAAAAAATTACAAAAAAAAAAAAAAATTACAAAACCCTATACTTAAAACTCGTTTAAGTTTCATTTATCAGACCCAAAATGTTGCTTTTATAATCCTGTTTAACAATTTCTATATTATTAGTTTTGTTTAAATTTTTACCAAACCAGAAGAGACTTTAAACATGTAAAAGGTTTTTAAAGAGTTTTTTCTTCAACTGTTCCTTGTTTTTACTCTAAATTCTAATCTTTAATTTTTTTAACATATTGATAAATCTATCATTTTATTTTCACATCATACACTCCAATTATTTTAGCCATATTTCAGTTTTAAGAGCTCCGACAGAAACCAATTTCTGGTGTGTATATATTGGCTGCATTAATCATTCATATTAAAAGTATTGTAGGCCCTACTGGTGCGTAGGAAACAAATTTTATCTGTTTTTTTTTTTTTTTTGGAGGGGCAACCATTCAGAAAACAAAGGCTACAGATCTGGGATTTCTTTCTAGTTTTTCTTACCCGGTTGTCTTAACCCTACACCCACCCTCTTCCTGCAATTATGACAAACATAGTTAAATAAAGGGGGAGGGATAAGTCCCATTGACCCTCAGGTCTTGCGTTTTTGTAGGACTACGGATTTTAGCCATATGGCTATAAAGTTCTACAAAAATGACAACGTTAAATTAATTAACCCAATCCTTGCCACAGTCTTCGGCCTTAGCGATTTGAAATGTTTTCGAAAGAATATCGGCCAACACGTTAACCGACAACTAGGACAGAAGATATATTTTGGGTCCTAGCCGACAAGTAGCTTAGCAGGCCCGTAGCCAGCAATTGCAAAAGGGGAGTTCTTTTTCGGTGTAACAGAAATGGAAGTCGTAGTCTGCTTCCTATTACTTTGTACAGGTGACATTCGTCGTGTATACTAACCCCAATATTCAAACTAACCCTAACCTGTACTTATCATATGCAGGGGTAATCCTAGAGAGGGGTAAGAAACGTCCATTGTTCTCGTCAGTGAGGCTAACCGAATTCAGGGTATGTACGCACAGACAGAAAACTATGTATTGTGGGAACGTTACTAATGAAGCCACTGGTAGTACTAGTAGATATCAATCTGTAGGCTAGAACAAGCACCTCGTTGACGAGTGAACAGTTGTCAAAAACAAAAGACCCAGGTGTGGTAGATCGACTACTGTTCGCGCGTGCCGCAAAGACGAAGCCTAATTGCCCCTCAAGGTCACAAACTAATATCCGGTGCTTACGGTTAGGCTCGTCATAATCATATAAGTAGCGCGTTCCCACCCCCTGTCATATGGGAGCCCGGACTTCCATTCCTAGGATTTCAATTCCTGTCACACCGGCACGCCCACTCTGACAGGTGTGAATGTACATGTAGAAGCAGTTACAGACAGGGCTTTTCCCCACTTCTCTCAATTGCAGAGCTTTTGAACATCAGTTAAATAGTTTCGGATCATGGAAATTGATATCTTATAGTGTTTCCTTTTGATATTTTCTGAACAAAAAACAGCATTTTTACTTTATTACATTAAAACTAATATTCATTAGAAATAATTGAAATAAAATGTATGTTTATGTAATTCGAAAATATACGAAGAAATTATAATAGCTTAAAATGGAATTATGGCTAGCTGTGGAAGCAGGCCGCGAGGTTCAAAACTTTCAAGTTCTGCCAAAGAAAAAGAGGACCAAATGAATAAGCACAAAAGGCAGTATAATGTCCTTCCAAAGATTTTTAACCGCGAGGTATGTATAACGAACTCGTATTGCCAACCAAGGTTAATATCCAATGTGAAAACCGCGTGCGGATTACTACACTGCACTGTCCACTTAGCGTTCTTCTAAATGTTGTGGAATTTATGTGGTAGGCTGCGTGCCATAGTCACTTATACAATGTCTTATGTTTAACATGTGCTTAATAAAACTGTTTAAGATATTCAAATATTTAATAATAATGTAATCAGACAAAACCAAAAGCCAAAATAATGTTGCACAACAAGATAATACCATCCACATATCCAGGGGGCCGTTTCACGAAGCAGTAGTTAGTTAGCGATCGGTAGTTAGCCTCTCGCTAGTTATGAGTGCCATTTCACGAAGCTATCGCTAGTTCGCTCGCTCTTTATTGTGTTGTTGTTACCTTGGATATTTAAGGACTGGTCAGACCAGTCGCTAACTCTAGAGTTTCATCGTACGCATGCATAATGAATGAAATAGAAAGGTTGCTTAGATACTGTTGTCTTTGTATCCAATATGGCGACGACTTTTCTTGTTATCTGTACCGCCAGACGGCAACGTAGACTACAATGTTTTCATGAAAGGCAGAATCTTTTAGAATATACACACAATGATGCAATTTACGAGAGGTTGCGCCTAGCTGTGACAAAAAGAGCGGCAAAAAGGTGGTGGAGATCCTTTACGATGGCCTCAAAGCAGATGTTCTTATGCATTTCCAGCCGCCAAATATTGGAGAGTTAGTGTTTTGGCAACACTTTTACGCAAGAGTTCCATTTCCGATAAGCTGTTTCGAGACTACAGTGAGTAACAAGAGAAACAAAGACCGAACTTTACGACTGAACTTGGCGAGGAGTTAATGACTGCTTCGTGAAACACCCATAAAGTTTCCTAGTTAGCGAGATAGTTCAGTAGTTACTTATTCTAACTAACTACTGCTTCGTGAAATGGGCCCCAGTATAACTTGATGTATGTACATTGTACAAGCAAATTTAATTCAACTTATTATAAGAAAATGATGAAGATTAGCCTCTGGACTTTAATGTTAGCATGTAACTTGTTGTCTATGGGATTTTTCACAATGAATTTTTGCTGACCTAGCTCATGTGCACTAACTCCACAGGACTTGCTGAATGCAATCATATTTAGAGACTAACACACCTTTCCTGGCATTGAGTAGAGTATAGAAAAATTTTTATACAAGCACGTTGGAAACAAGAGGAAGTGATTATATGAGCTAGGAAGATGATCATTAGTATGTTGGAAACAAGAGGCCTGTTTATCCGATTACATTCACCAAGAGTCCCCATGGAGTTACTGCATGCACATCAGCTAGGTTGACAAAATTCCTTGTGAAAGGTCCCTATGAATGTAGATATTTTTTTAATCTGCCTGCCTAATGTTAAATATCATCAAATATACCCAGGAAAATGTAGTGTGATGCTCTTGTTACTAATTTCCACTTTTGGATTTGTCTTGACAGTAGACAGAATGCTTTCCTTCAAAATTTGTGACATTTGTTCATCTAATGGAAATTAATATTACAGTGGTAAAATGGAAAAAATATTACAGTGGCAACCCTTGAAGACTTGATCATAACTATTTTGAAGTATGATTTCAAAGCAAACTTTAAGTCAATTTATATTTTAGATGTATGGCAGTTTACACAAGCACCATCGTAGCTATCCCATGAAAATCTTCAATAAGATTCCAGGACGTTTAGGTTTTCAGTTATCTACACTAGTAGACCGTACAGTATTACAGGATGGGTAAGGAGTAATATTTGAACAGAAAAAGTTATAAATGTACACAAATATTTCATTGTATCTTATCTTAATATTGCTCACCAAAAAAGATCAATATAAAAAGATTAATACATAGTAACTTATGCTTAAAGTAATTCAGCGTGGTTGCTTGTTTATACCAGGTAAACTCACCCTGAGCTTCAGAGATAACTTGACACTAACCTCTTCACAATAGCCTATCTTCATCGTGTCAAGTTACCTCTGACGAAAATAGTTTGACCTAGTTTATATAAGCCAATCGAATCCAAGTTTCAAAATTTTTCACCAAAGTTTGGTGAAAACGCTGATTGGTTGACCGTCAATTGGTAATCCTCGGCTGATTCCGCAAGCTCCATACTAACAAAAAAGTTATTGTCGAGTGCAGAGACATCCGAGTAGTGCCGAGTGCATAACCGTACACAAAGAAAGCATGGCGTCTTCTACGAGTGACTACGTAAAATAATGAGTTAAGTTATCTCTTGATTCTTTGCAAAATATGAGTATATCGGAATTGAAACCAGAGCAGTTTGAGGCCCTGCATCATTATCTACTGAGGGATGATGTATTTTGCGTGCTGCCCACAGGTTACGGCAAGTCCCTGATATTGAGCCTTATCTCTGATTGGTCCGGATTTGAACAAAGCGTGCTTTGACTCGTTCGCGTTCATTGGCTAGATCGTTCAATGAGTCTTTGAGTGCGGGCTTTAAATTTGATTGGCGGGCGGCGGGGGCAATCGAATGTGGTCAGAGCTAACTTGACACGATGAAGATAGGCTATTGTGAAGAGGTTAGTGTCAAGTTATCTCTGAAGCTCAGGGAAGGTAAACTATATATTTATAGTAAACTATATGTTATATATGTTATATTTTTCCTAGCCATGTGTTCCTGGGCTTTACCAAAGATGGGCAGTATGTTTTATCTTATACAGTAACAGTAGAGGCTGATGAGCATTCGGCATATCCAATATATGTTTACAGGCTACAGTGGTGGCTCTTTCTGCCACACAAACCAATGACCAAGGTTTGTGGATTTGGTGTTGATTTTCTCTTTTTTGTAAAATATAGTTCTACTTAATGTACAGAACAGCTAATAAAATAATGTTTGGATAAAAATTCTTATTAATATAATCATTTATTTAAAGTGTTTTCAGTAAAATTTTTTCTGTTCATAAATATTTTACTGGTAAGTTTTTTCTCTTTGTTTTCATGTGACTTCTTTCTCTGCCATTTTACCTCAAATAAACAAATATTTGTGTTACTCATATATCTTGTCTTAGGTGTCTGAAGTTAGACTGTTTGGTGAAGAAGAAATTCAGCAAGACTTGTACATAGCAGTATGTCAGTGGTCCACAGATTCCAGGAAGATACTGGTCTATGGATACTGGTCAGTTCTTCCATCAACTTTTAAATATATCATTTCATATGGCTGCAAATGTATTTAGAGCTTACAATTATTTAAAATAAACTTGGCTTCCAATGTGGTATGACATTAAATTTTCAAAATAAATGAGAAAAAAAGTAATTGATTAAAAATTCACTTTCTCATTATTTGGTTGGGCCTATAGTGTACCCGATGATGATGAAGAAAAAAGGCAGTGTTATATTACAATCACTGCAGCACCACCTTCAGTGCCTTGTCAACAGTGTTTGCAGCTGATGGAGAACATGAGTAAGTTGCATCACACTCTGATGGAGCAATTTTAAGATAAAAAGCATTCTTTAATACCTGAAACATTTTAAATATTTGTTTTTCTGATCCATGCCAAGCTCCTTTATTTAAATTTGGGAAAAAATACCAGAGCAAATTAAATGAAAATACTGAAGCAAGTTGAAAAGAACTCTGTAATTTTTTGCGTGTGAATGTATATATAGTACACTCTGTCCTTCCTACAGGTGAATCTCTGGAAGACGAAAGAGGAATACCCAAGAGATGTCTGGTGCATGGATTTGCTGTTCACACCAAGTACGAACTTGCACCTCCATATCCTGCCTTTGCACCAAAGACTGTGTTAAAGATAGACGGTGTGGTAATACTCAATACTGGAGATTCTCTCATTGCATTGAGTACAGAATTGACAAACCAACAGCAGAGGTCAATTCAGACTTTGTTTTCTCCAAAGCCACTAGGTGCCACTTCTGATCAGGATGAGCCCATGTTTGGCACTCAGATCTCTTCCGACTCAGAAAGACCAGATACTGATGCAGTATATTTTGATGCTCAGGTTCAAAGTCCAGTTGGGATGTATATAGACTGCTCAACAGACATGCGCATGAATGTGCAGAGAAAATGTGTCAGACAGTTGAAAATTCCACTCAGTCCAGCACAGAACAGTCACAATTGGAGTAATCCAAATTCCCCTAGGGCTGGGTCCAGCCAGGTGCCACAGAGCCCAGGGAAGTTGCTCATGAGTCCAATTTCACCAGTGTCTCCAAAATCTCAGGGAAGATATGTTATGTCACATTCTCCATGTGGTGGAAACGGGGGACACAATGCAGAGTGCCTGTCTTACCACCCAGACAAGGAAAATGATGGAAACTTCACGTGTTCTTGTCCAGCAACTAACACTAGTGCTGTTCTGTGTGGGAGTGCCAAAGATGACAGTGATTTGTATGTATTCCAGCCAGATGTTGGTGTAGAAGAACAGAGGAGGCCTCACCGTGTGGTTGCTGAACCTAGCTATTTCTCCCCTGAGAGAGATGATCCCATGGAGGATGGGCTTCAACCAGAGAGCAATATCCAGTTTCAGTCTGCTCAAATCTCAGGCACATCTGAGCTTCCAAGCCCTCCTATTCGCATGGTTGGAAGTCCAGGGAGGGCTCTTCCCTCAAGGCTTCTCTGTGATAACCCACCTAGTCATTATTATGGTGCTGAAAGAAGCATCCCTGCCTCCCCTGGGGTAGGGTACAGCAGTGAAACCAGTTCTGTAGCCAGTAGTCCTGGTCCTATAGTGTTACAGAATGACAGTCAGTGCTTTACCTACTCAATACGTAGGTATGTGGAAAGTATGGAAAGAGGGGAAGGCCAAGAAGCTGAAGGTGAGCTTTAGCAGTTAAATGAGGCTCATATGGTGGTGTATGTATAAGGAATATTGGGAAAGTCTTAATATATGTGTAGCAGTTCAAAAGGATAGCAAGTACTTGTATTTATGTAAAAGTAAGTCATATGCATATTATATTATATTATATGTAAATAAAATCCTCATCAAGTTTGTATTTATTTTAAATATTATAATCATACATTACAGATGAATCTGTATATAACAACATGCTTCCACTGGAAGTCCATGGGGGAGGTTACCAACATATGAAGATGATCAACAATAAGAATGAGGAGTACAAGGTAAGAGCATTATGCCTGCTGACAGGTGTACTTACATTGTAAGTGAAACATGATTGGATATAAATTTAGGCTTGGATTTAAGGGAGACTAGATTAAGAGATAAAAAAAAATTACAGTATGAAAAAAAAACTGAAACTGATAGACCCGGAACATTGCATTACTTTACATTACAATCCACTTTCATTTAAACATATCTTCCTTTTTTAGCCTGGTCTTATAGTAAAGCAGTTGAGTTTAGATGTGGAGCATTACATAGCAGACACCATCAAACACCATGCTGAGTGGGGCCAGAGATATATTGCCTTCACAGATTATGATATGCAAATATTGGAGGTATATACAGAGTATTCTATGTGACACTATACTAAGTTAAATCTGTCACATTAAGAAATAAGGAAACATCTAGTTGTAAAAGGTTTAATGTCTTGTATAAATGGGGTCATTTAAGTTGTCTATTTGGTCCCAGGTTTGTCCTACTACATGCAGTGTAGTTGTGATGGTGCTAGCTCTGATTCAAGCAAGGACTCCAAAATCCACTAGTTCCTCAAGGCAAATGGGGTAAGATATAACATGGCTTATATTACATGTTGATTTGAAGGGAATGGAACGCATATTTATGCAAGTGAAAGTAAAGGATCTATCATTATTTAGTTTATTTAATTATTGTCTCTTCAAGCAGTGTTAATTCAAACACTATTTAAGTTGTCGTTAAAGTTGACAAGTCTAAGGTTTTGAGTGGTTTAACCATTTTTTTGTACACATTTCTTTTGTAGAAAATACATTCCAAGGCTTTATCAGACGGGCTTCAAGTTTGTATGGAATTTGCAAACAGGTATGAGTGCCCTGATGAAAGTGAAGATGTGTGATATTAATTTAAATCCTGCTTGTATTATTTAAAAGAGATTATATCCTGCTTGTCTTGATGAAGGAGGAGAGAAAAAGTTAAATTCAAGTAAAATTTATATACATGTATGCGCTGTATTAGCTCACATTTCATCATTATCAAATGTTGATTATCTCAGGTTCCTACAACACTGTGTGTATTGATGACTTAGAGGATATAGACCAAACACAGCTGTACAGGTAAAGTAGCCTGTTTTAATCCATATTGCCCTTTGTTTCTTTCTTCTCACTAAGATATCCAAGTCATCACAAGCCATGAAGAAAATTAAAGAGTTTGTAAACAAGTTCCCCAAAAATAAGTTAAAAAAATAACTTTTTACTAGCAGTGCATCTATTCAAATTGTAATTTTTATGGCAGACAGTGGTTTAAGATTGTATGGTGATTTTTAGGAGAGCTTGGAACCCAGGCCACGAGTCGAGTATGAGGATCCAGAGACAATTCTTGGTGCCACAGTGCTACAGTAGGAGTGTCCATGTCATGACAAATGAGGCAGTCTTCAAAGGTATTGACTAAAGATGTTGTATTAAGCCACAATACTACAGTAAGAGTGATTTAAATGTGGTTATAATAGGATATGTGAAGATCTGCTTTTAATGTCACACTTTAATGAGTGTCTTTAATGTCACTTTAATGAGAGTCTTTCTGCTCTCTCTCTCCCTCTTTTTTGTATTTATATATGTATAATTCCTTATTCAGGTCAATCTTTGAAGATGCTGTTGGACCCACAGAACTATGTTGCAATTCTATTAGGAACTCGTCCTTGAACAGTTTGATCTGTTTGCACTCTTTTCTTTTTTTTGTTTTGACTACCACTGGTTATATACAGACACTGTATTTGAACAGAAACACTGACCACTGGTGTTAAGACAAGTTAACAATTTATGCCAAAAGTTCAGCTTGTTGGAACATTGATATATTGCATGAACCTTATTCCTATTACAGCTGGACTAGATTTATAAATACTACTTAGAGTCACTTTTGCAGATTCAATTTCATGAAATAATCAGATCTTGAATTATTAACTTTGAAATCATTCATTTCTGCAGTTAGAACAGTTCCTGATTCTGATAAAATAATTTGAGGATATAGCTGGTCATATATGAACAGCAATTTTTTTCAGATTGTCTCAAATACATCTTGTATGTGTTGCTACAGGGCATGAGCAGTTTATTTCAGAATTGTCCTCAGAAAACACCAGTGATGTAACCAAAAGGATAAAAAAAAACTTTTTTTGAGAAAAAGTGTGAATTTAGCCTTCTGCATATCAGAAAGTTATGTCTTATTTTTTCATTTATGTTTCCTACACTATTATTTTAATTAGGCTTAATTTTGTTCCTTTTCCAAATCTAGTTTTAAAAGTTCCAGCAGTAATTACAAGTTTTTTATTTGTTATAGATGTAGATTTAACATTTTCAAGCAGTGTAGTTCGGAGGATATAAAACTAGCAACAACAATCACAATCAGCTATTGTAAGTGGAAATATAACAATTGACTTAAGGATAAAGAAAGTGTTGGGGTAGATGTTAGTTTTTCATATGACAGTGTTGATATTAAGTTTATTAAAATTTAATCAAATCAAATTTTTAAGTTTTTACTTCATACCAAGGTGGAACAAGTCAGCTGAAGCTGACAAAATACTCAGTGCTGCAGTCTACCTTCAATACCAATCTGTACACTCAAGTGCTAATCCTGAGTAAGCACCAAATAAAAGTGACAAAAAAATTATACCATAACATCTACCTTCTTCAGAAAATGTAGCAATTTGCTAATACAAATGTACATGTCCATAATACTGAAAGAAGCCTCTTCCTGTTTATTCAGTTGACTGCTCAGAAATTGGCCTCCTAGCTCTACTCGAGAGCTTTGAAGTTACATATGAAGTCAAAATTTTGGCACTAAACCTGACTAAATTTCACAATATAGTTTCAAATAACTTGAAAATATACCAAAGAGCATCACCTCAGATTTCTCAAAGAAAAAAATGTATTTGAACAGAGAATTCCCGTTTTATTTCTGTGCATTCGCAGCAGTAATGAATCTCACATTACTACCCCATTTGGACTTTTACAAACTGGAGGGATGGATAGGTCAAGATAACAACCAGAAATTTGAAGAAGATGCAGCTTCAACGTAATGCTTTATCCCTTGAAACATCATTTTCAATTGAGTTTGGCTAGTTTAGGTTAAACATTCTGAAGGTTTTTTTTTCAACCATGAATTATGATCCATACATATATACACCAGTTGTCTACATAAAAGCATCATAGGTAAGTCTTGCTAGTTTGAAGGAATACAGGACTGCTGTTTTTCAGGCCTCCTAATTGTAACATTGCAGTACTTGGCAATGCAGGGAAACATGTCACCCAGAACAGGACTTCTAAAAATTAATTGAAAAAATATCCATTAGGTCCATTTCCAGCAAAAATTGAGGCAAACAGATTATCCTTTTTAGTTGTTAAAAGAGATGCTAAAAAAATAATTAATTTAACTGTGAGCTAAGTGGCATCAAGAAATGTGCAACACTGCTACCAGGGAGATTTACAATATTGCAGCATGTTCAGTTCCATGTCCATTCGCCTGAAGAGTTTACTTCAGTCATAAATAGTTTGGCTAGTAATTTAGTACTAAGAGTAATTTAATTCACATGCCAAATCATTTAGCCCTTCAGTCATGAGACTGACCATCATAAACATTTTTTTAACATACAGACTGTGTGTATGTATATTCTTACCACAGGGCCTCCATGTTGTCACACTTGCTGTCCTAAAGTAAACCATATTTTTGTTTTACTCTAACCTTAAAGAGTAGCATTGTTTGTTTAAAAAGGTTATTTTTGAAAATCAACATGAACTGATTACTTTTACAAAAGTGATTGTCTTTTCTTTTTTCCATGTTTTGGGGCATTGGCTGCTGTCAGACAAATGTCCTCAAAATACGTGAAAAAAATCAGGTCTGCACTCGCTGCATGAGTGACACATTATTATATAAACATTACAGCAATAGGTGCAAATTATCATTTGCAGCTAATTTTCTATAAAAGACCATCACATATTTTGCAGAAACTGCAGTTAATGAACAATCAATTACTCAAAAATGAGCAAAGACATATATATATATATATATATATATATATATATATATATATATATATATATATATATATATATATCACTGGTTCAGCTGGGTACATTCAGGAGATGCTAGTTTCCTCTGTAACTGCACCTACAAGTTAAACGTTTCATTGTGTATGGACCCAAAAAGTTGACTTCATTAATCAGTATTGGTTAGCAACATAATATATAGAAGCAAGGAGTTACAACTGTTGAAACTCCCTGATAGAAGTGACAGATGATAGGACGCCTGTTTTAAAGAGTCGTCACACAAGACAAAAGCATTGTTTTTAGAAACAGTTATAGATTTAGTTGTAGCCTTTTATTCACATTCAATATTCTTTAATATTCCTGACACCAGAATGACCTTCATGAAAATTTATAATGTCATTATCATAATTCCCCATCAAACACACAGAAAAATTTTAACACATAATTAAACATAACAGTAATAGATGCAAATTATCATTTGCGGACAATTTTCTATTGAAGACCACCGTCAGAGATTTCTCAGAAACTGTGCAGTTAATGAGCAAACAGTGAATCTGGAATTAGCACACACGTAGTTCATGATAAACCTCTGTAACTGATGAAATGGTTGTGTATTACATGTAGCCTGAAAAGTTAACTACAAGACTTAATAGTTAAGACCAACAAGATTCAATTCTTGTTTTAAAGAGTGGTCACATAACACAAACACCAAAATATTTTTAGATCTGGTTACTGTCTTCAACTCGAGTTCAAAATTATTTTACATTTCAGTCACCACAATGACCTCCATACACTTTATTTTATTATATACATTGTTCAATAGAATTTCACATTATTTACATTCAAAATACAAAAACAAATTAACGAGTTTTCACAAATTGCACATTAAAAATCTAAGGATCCTTTTTTGTCAAGCCTGCACCATGATATGAGATCATATAATTACCCTGTCTTATAAAAACATCTTAATATATATCTGCTTAGGGTTTCAACAATACATACCTTTTAGATATCTTGTCCAGCCCAATTTATTTTACATCAAATATAAAAATTAAAAGGCATTATTATAATAACAAAATGGACTTATAAATTTCTTTTTATTCCAGCAGGCAAAAACAAGAGTTATTCCCAAAGGTCTTGAAGAAATTACTGTTATTTGAATCGCATGCAAATTCCAGCACATGCATAATCTGATGAGGCCCAAATTTGGTGATTGAATAAAAGATAAAACAAGGTTAATGCAAGGCTTATCAAGCAAATACTTGAAAAGTGAAGTCCAGTTAAAGAAAAATTAAACAATGTAACCATAGTGACAAAGAGAGAGCAACATTTAACCATTGCTACATATCTGAATTTTTGAAACCACTTTAGCTATAAAGTGCATGTATTGAAAACGTTTGGCATAAAAGTAACACTGTTCAGTAGACCACTACCTTTTGATGAGCCCCTTATTTCATGACACACAGTCAACTGTAATATTCAAAAGCACTTATCTTTCATGCATTTTTCTCATGCACTATTGTTGACATAGCAACAGATTATCACTGTTGCTGAGACTTTCTATATTTTGAAACAATGCAAATCAAGAAAATGAGCAGATTCCCCATTTCACACACCGAAAAATACATTTTCACATGAACATCACAGCAGCAGGTGAAAAATGCCATTTGCACCTATTGTTTCAACTTTGCTGTAACTGCAACATGTGCTTTATGTCAGAGTAGGTCAAAGTATTGACAATGTGTGTAGAGAGATGTCTTCACCTATCATATGACTTGCCCTACAGGTAAATATTCAAACTCTGCCCTGACATTTCATTCAGTTCAGCGACATGGTCTCCCTCGTCCATGTCGTTTTACGTTTTTAGTTTTCAGAAGTTTTCACTAATTTTCATAAGTGTGTCTCCACTTTTCTCCAGTTAACAGAATTTAGCGAAATACAATATATGCATTTCAAGGGTTACGGTATGGTCATCGCAACATTTGCTATTAAATGAAACATCAATCAAGAACAAGTTAATATCACACAACAAGTACAAGTTAATTTGGTCCTGATATCTAGTCTTCCTCTTTCTTGGTCTCTTGCTCTGTGTTCTGTATCAGTGGAATGGCATCTTCCCATGCTTTTAATGACTGTAAAAAGAATAATATCATTTCTTTATGCTTTTAATCATCTGCTTTCCTGTCCATGCATGTAACGAATGCCAGTCGCACTATTTTCTTTGTTCACATAATGAGATATAAGTAATTTCTAAAAAAAAATGTGAGAAAAAATATTGTTTGAAATTTAAAAATGAACAACTGAAAGTCAGTGGTGTTTTTTCCCAAATACAGAAACAACACAAAAGCTATTCCATCACAATCCCACATTATTTTCCCATAAATATGAATGCAACAAGTACCAGATCGAACAAAACATCTCAAATTAGCAATGCAGTTAGTTGTTCACCTTTTCATAGAAGCTAATCTGTTTGTCAGCCATTTTGATAAAGAGGTCTCTGAAATCTTTCCTCTTGAACTTGTGCCACCTCTCCATGTCTGCCTTCAGGTCCGAGTCTGCACACACTGTACGGTCATTCAGTCGCTCCACCTCTTTGGCAAGCTATTCAATAAATTTTTTACAATCATAAACTTCGATTTTTCATTTTGGAAAAAATGTGGTTTATTAGTTAATATGTATACTCAAGATGACAACAAAGTTAAATTGAAATCTTGAAAATTGAAGTTGTCAAAACAATATCAAGCATGGCACCCATATGTAAGGTAATACAATAAAATCATTTGCTCTCACATCATATCATATCTGCTGGCCTATCAACAAGCTCACCATTTTGTTTTGTTCGCCACACTGTCAGTATAAGGTTAAATGCATGAGTGTAAAATTCCATGCAGAAATTGTGATTGGGAGAAAAGCAATGCATTTGTACCTGCTGACAGTGTGCATTATGATGATATGTTTAAGTATGTAGTCTATATAAATAATACTAGAAAATCTACCAACTAGTTTTTGGGGTAGGTATAGAATAATATTTACACACACACAAAGCAGGGTGTGCAAGTAACTTGTAAAGTAACCATACTGCAAAAGTGTAAACTTGGCTGAAATATCAGAAATAAGATATGCAGAAAAAAACTGTAAAATTAATGTAATTGTGCCATTCCCCTTTTAAATATGGCAATTTGTGCAACTCATCTGGAGTGCTCAATTGAAAAATAAATGACTGCAAAAACGCCTTAAATCCTGGCCAATCAATCAACAATGTAAATCAATAGATCATGATTTAAGACGACCAAGTACCTCCTCTATTTGCTGTTCCAGTTTCTCTCTTTTCCCTTGTTTTACTTCAGAGGGGTCTTTCCCAAGAAGAGAGCCAAAGGAAAAAGATGGGTCTGATATCTTAACCTACAAAATAAATTATCACCAATACTACCAAGGGCCATGCATATACATACCTCAGAAAGGTCAGTTTTCTGCAGCATTAAAAAAACAGAGATGAATGTTTAACATCAATGATTTTTCCCCACATTCACAGAAAATAACAAGTAAGTGCATTTATTAGTGTAAGTGAATCAAATGATGATTAATGTAAATCCTCACCAACTTCAGTGCACAGATAAAGCCCCCTAATGAAAATAGTATTTTTTGCTACACAACAAAGATTGAGAACTTCCTACAATGTTTATAATGTGCAGGGGCATATAGTGACAGTGTCATTCAAAGTATTTATTTTCACTTATTCATATTCGTGCTTTATGCTCCTTGTCAAATAAAATAATGCCCACATTATCTATGCAATGAATAAAGCATTAAGATGGGCAATAAGTTTTTCAACTCAATAAATCCTACTCATACTTCTGATCAGTCACACTGTTCTTACTAAAACACCAAAACTAAAAGCACTTCACACCTGGTCATCACAAAAAGTGAGTTGTCAATATATATGTATGTGTAGCTATTTATATCCACAAAACATAATATGCAAACAAACAAACAAATAAATAAATAATGAATACATGAACAATTAAATAAAAAACAAATAAATAAAAATAATAAACAAACAAGCAAACTACAATGAAATAACAATAAATGTGCTGCACAACATTAATACCCACAGCTTCTTTTTCATCCTTTTTTTTCTGTAGTTCCTCTGCAGCTAGTTCATACTCCATCTGCATGGCATCCCGTCTCCTTAACACTGCTTTCACTGCCTCTACATACAGAATGTACTCCTTTAGAGACTGGCCAAATTCTCCTTCAGTTTCACTGATCTGGAACATGCAATACAGAATTTTGCTTTGTGAAATTTATATTTGTTGTTTTTACATTGCGTTCCTGCCACTGCTATGTTTTTTTTTTGTTACATCTGTAACTAATCAGCATAAGTATTCTGCTACATAAGTTGTAACATAGATGCAACTTTTATATTCAAAGATTATCTTTGTTATTAACTATTAAATCCTCATAATCTAAAACTTCTTAAATCAAAAAGTAAATATTTCAGTGTCTGAAAGAAACTTAGTGAAGCATGATAAGAATGTTTAGGGTAAGGTGTGAAGAATATTTCAAATGTTAAATCTTTTATTTTCTGGAACAAGGTGAATCACTGGCTTGTAAACAAGGGTACAAAGTCAGCAGGAGAAATACTGATAATGGCATAATGCAAAAGTTTTTTTAATCACATGCAGTTGTACATCCCCCATCAATCACACACACACACACACACACACACACACACACACACACACACACACACACGTATATGTTTCAGTCCAAATTATTTCAATCCACCCCCCCCCCTCCCACACAAGTGATGCAGTAATTGAAAATTCTCACGTGCTCTAGAGACAGGCCTTGTCCCAAATGTGTAAGAACCTGCAAATTGAAAAAGCACCCACATTCCAATATAACCAAAAGGAAATAAGAGCTGGAACTCCCCTTATACAAAACATTTTGACAATCAAAAATTAAAAACAAAATTTAAATAAAATTATTTCAAAGTAGCGATGACAAATGACAGACCAATACTGCATTGCAATATGAAAAAGAAAAGCTGTACATGCAGACATACAGCCAGACAGACTGCAGTGGAGAGCTTTGTCAAACAACTTCTGACAAAAAATGTTGTCACAACTCAAAAAAGATTAGTTGTTCCCTGGAATGCATCAAATTTAGAAACTTTTTATGTACCTGGTAACGTATCTTTACGGTAATATCTACCTACAGATCCAAAGACAGGTAAATCCTGTATATAATGTTAAAATAATACCTACAGTCTTTATGTGATAAATCTGATAACAAGCTATACAACACCATGGATATTAACATATACCTACACTGCATTACAAGAAATCTAAATGAAAAGGCACACAACAACATACTCACATACTGCAGAACTAGATGAAATGGTGAAGACTTACCGACTCCTGTACTGCATTACAACAGGTCTCTATGGAATGTGCCACAGCTGTCAGTGCTGTGGAGAGCTCATCCTCAGAATTAGACCAAAGTGTAAATACTGGACCTATCTCATTCAGCTCGGTGACATATTCTGTTAAAAAACAATTCATAAAAGATGTAAGATAAGAACAAAGATAAAAAATCTCAATGTATGCAGTGCCCATTATAAGCAAATAAATATTATCGTCACCTCAAGCTTATTGGTTTAGAGATCCCACCTAACCCTCACTCACCCATTTGTTCTTTGACTAATCTCTGCTGAATTCTGTCCATGGTGCCAAGTTTCTCACCAAATGTCTGAATGTATTCCTGTAACATAGTAAACTCCGGGCTGCGGTTCTTCATCATATATGATGCACTTAAATTACGAAGGGAATCTGCAGTTCGACTGATAAATCCTGAACCTTGTTTTTTATATGCTTGGAATTCCTGTTAAAAAAAAAAAAAAACTTACAAACATGAACCCCACACTTCTTTCTTGTGAGCATGAAATTCCTTAAGTGATGAAAATCAACAAGTGTTGCATATTGAGCCACTTTATGCAAACTACTCTCTGTAATACGATGATACAGCTAATATGCAAAATACTTAATCCTAACAATTAAAGAATCACAGCATTATTGGGTTAAACACATAAAAAATAGTACTTACAAACTGTTTTGCAGTTAAAAAAACTTTGAGATGCTCATTAAACGACAGCACTGGGTGATCTTCTAGTCGACTCATGAACTTCTGCAAGGCCTTCTCTCTGTTTTTGAGAAATTCTGGGCTAAATCTGTCCAGCCTGCGAAGACTGTGTTTTTCTGGTAATGGCTGCATAAACACAAAATATTAAACAAAATGATTATATAATTACTTGTAAAATTATGTTGGTTAGTGCAAATGATACAAAGAATGCACTGTAAATATGCATTGAAGTTATCTTTTGTACTACAACATAATGAATCACCAATACATATAATTGTAAGTGTCACTTATCTCAAAGCAAAATATTTGACTTTGAAAAGATCTGTATTCACATTAAATGAAATTTAAGGACAGTATTACCGGTATAAGATGTGAAGGCTGAGTTTCTTCCAGACGTTGTCGTAACCAAAGGAAATCATTGTAGCGTCTTCTCACACTGTACTCGTGATTGTCAAAGTCACACCTTGTGGTCTACAAGATTGAATACAATTTATTTAAAAAAAATAATAATAATAAAAAAATAAAAAGCCAGCAAATCTGGCAGTTAATGCTTAAAATAACAGACGCAGTGACTTCAAAACAGTCTAAAAATGATGAACAACCATTTTAACAATGACGAAGCACAAAATATTTTTGATCAGTTTTGACACACTATAAGATAAAGATTAAAGGGATAATAACTCTTTGTACAAAGTCTATATTTTACAATAAAAACATTGTGAATAACTCATAGAAATATAATATATTCTGTTTTACGACAAAAACAGGAGTTATAGCCATTATTCTGATATCTGAGCTTGTCTTCAGACCACGTGACCTCCATTGATGCCTATACTCTGTTATAATCTCTTAAGAGATTTTAACAAAAAAACAAACTTTTTAGATAAAAACCAGGGACTAACTTTGAATGTAAAAATGAATTCATTAAAGCAATAATAACTCTTCCTTTGAGATTCAAAATTCCGCATGAAATACACTTTAAACAACGCATGGACATATATTCTATCGTATTTTACCACTAAAACGGCCGTTATTGGAGTAAAACTAAAATCTGTGCTTGTCAATGGGGCTTTCAATGCCATTTTTCCCAGTCATCAAGGCATTCGTTGCTAATGACGTAATGGTGTCACGCGGATTCTCGCGTTCATTCGAGACCAAAATAACATGGCGCCAAACACATTAATGCGGACGCAGACGTAAGTTGCGAGTTTTTGTACAGTGCGTTGGATAACGAAAAGCCCAGAATGGCACACATTGTGGATATAAATGCATTTTTAACAAAAAGACGAATATATCTCATGAATCTTATATAGTGTTGTTGTTGTCTGCTTTTCCCGCGGTTTTAAGTAGGTCACCAGTGACTTTGCAATGTCAGAGAGAGCTCCATCAGTTAAAATCTCTTAAGAGATTTTAACAAAAAACCGTACGTTTAGGAAAAAAAACCTGGATTAAGTTTGAATGCAGGAATGGGGTCGTTGACCATTGGTAAGTACGGGAAAATTGCCGTTTTTTCCAGGAAAATCCAATTTTTTGCCAAAACGAAGAGTTATTATGACTTTAACCATTGGTAAGTATGGGAAAATTGTTGTTTACTCTAGGAAAATTCATTTTTTGGCCAAAACGAAGAGTTATTATCCCTTTAATGGAATAATTGCCACCAATTTCAATTATTACTGTAGACATTCAGAAAAAAAGAAATAAGCACAGAGATGTCATTATTTCCTGTAGTGAAAAGTGACAGGCAATAGGCTAAGTCTGTTAACATAATACATATCACCATTTCATTACTGTACCTTTGTAGTGATCTTGAACGTAATATATGACTCCATTGTGGTAACATGCTTCTCTGGATTGTCAACAACAATAAACAAGTCCTTTGTTTCATTATCCATCTGTTCATCTTCCAACTCCAAATTCCTAATTCCAGAGCCTTCTAACAAGTCTGCTGTTGTAGAATTTTCTGAATCCTGGTGAAACAACAAAATGCAATGTGCAGTAGTAGTGTCATTATGCATAAAAACTCAAAGACCAGAAATCTATGTTTTTCTCTAGCTCTCTTTTTTAACAATATTATAATATTCAATATTTAAATAAAATGAAGTGCATATAAAGCTAAAATCACACAAAAGATATGCTCCTGATCAATGGTACTTTCTCACAATCTGCTTTACCTTTAAGCTTCCTATCTTGCATGCAGTTGATAAGTCAAATGCTCTTGCCGAAATGATAGTAGATTTGCAAAGACATGTACGCAATTTGATTATAAATGCAGCCATGCAGGAGTCAACTAATCATCTCTTCAGTTCAAATACTTAGAACCCAAGCACTTGGATGGGCAATGATTGGTTATTTAATATTGACTTCTTGCTATGAATATGGACTTTAAATTATCTAAAAAAAAGTCATACATATCAGGGGGTTTGTTTCATTTACCCTGTACATTCAATTATTGATTGAATCCCAGAGTCTATTGTGTCAAAGATATGGTTGTCTTGCTAATCAATTCCAAAGCACACCAACACATATATTGGTAAATTTACTGAACATGAAATATGTAAAACCTTAGCTGTGTACATAAGTTTACAAAAAAAAAAAGAAAAATTGTATGAGTGCCCCACCCCTCAAAAATAAAACCAAACACGATTCGCATCATTTGAACATTTCCATGTATTTTTCATTCCTGGCGAATAATGTTTAATGATAATGATAAAAAATAACACGTTGTCATTTTCTCGAGCTACCATTCAAACCTGCTGGCTGGCTTGTAATACCAATAAAACGAAAAGGCCGTAAGCTGTCAGTGCTTGGAAGGTTAGGTGATATCGGAGCTGTTAGAAATAGATCTATGAAATGATTCATTGCCTAAAGTTTACAAAATCATGCCTACCAATGGGATACCATCGTCACTTCCTAAATTTATGCTATTTAATTGATCGCTCGAAGGAGACAGGTCTTCAAAATCTTCGTCTCCGAACAGTTCTCTTTCAGCTGCTGCTGCACTAAGTGGATCAGCCATTTTTTAATATCTACAATTTAAGCCGCTTGCAACATAAAAATTTTGATACACTTTTATCACGTTTAAAGACTTATCAAATTTTATGGATGCACATACTTAATAATTCATTGTAATCACATACTTCTAGGTTGAGCAAACTTTAAAAAAACCCAACTCTTCCACTTTGTTTTAATTTAACCCAAGCGCCACATATCAATTCGCCAAGATGAGATTCAGGCAAAAATGCGAGAACTTTGAAATAAAGACATTAAAACACCATTTTTTGTACAGAATAACAATTAACAATTTGTATAAAATATTAAAATCAAAATTTTAATGTTATATGTGCAAATTAATTCACATTTTTTTTCTGAACTCTTAAAATTTCTGACCTCTCATCTCCCCCTAGTGACAAAACTAAGATCACGCTGTCGCCGCCCAAGTACGTGTAAATAGCTTGTAGCTAGGTACTCAACAGTGACAGGGAAAAGGTATGATATCCTTTGAATCTGAAAATTACTGTCATTAGTAAACTATGCTGTGTGTGTATATATATAAGCAAGTACTAAATGATATAATTATGACATTTTTTCACCATGAACAGTCTGTGTACACATGTAGGCTACACATAATGGTAGTATACACATGTACATAGATATAGATATAGGCATTATGTAATAATTGTTTGTATCATTTTGCAAACTCAACATTTTTCTCTTATCTTAACTTACTACTCGTACTCTCAGTATATGTCAATTCTATCTATTAACCTACTACAGTATATATAGTACCTGTCCCTACCAGAACATTTACTGAAGTATCATGACACGAATGTAAAAAATAGCGGCCGTGCCAGCATCACATAAAATACAGACATGGGGAGACTGCCAGTCTGACTGGTCATGACTGCCTGAAAAGCCAGAGGACCAGCAAGATGTTTGTTTATTTTGCAAAGTTTATTTGGAAATACAGTACATTAAAATAAACTACAGTGTATACTGAAATTGACTTATGGACCTGTGCAAAATAAGACCTGCAGATTTCCAGTAAGGCAGGTCCTCTGAGCCTTCAGTACCTCCAAAGTTTTCCTCATGTCTGAAAATAGTGAAAACAGTTTGGCATGCTTTCGTCCAATTCTCTCTCAATGTTTGAGTAATAGGCTCTCGACAGTCTATTTTGCATATAAGTCCTGATATATATATATATATATATATATATATATATACACTGGGGTAGCGCTAGCAATTTTTATCGCTTAGCCAAATCACTTCTTTTTTGTCAATTTGTTATCAAAATGGTTATAATTTGACTAAAACAAGTCAAATCAAGCCCTTTTTCTTTAGCCAATTTAAGAAAGTTTTAGCATTTGGCTAAATTGGAGAGTGTTAGCGCTACCCCAGATATATATATATATATATATATATATATATATATATATATATATATATATATATTTCTGTGAAAACCACTATGAATAAGGTATAATATATCTTCCAGTCATGCCACTGAAAAAAAATCATACTACTGGGGGAATGGCAAACCTGTTAAAGACCAACCAAAGGATAACGTTACCAATTTAAAACTTCCATTATACAGGATTCTGCAGAGCATTTTGTTACTTGACAGATGAAATACTGTCTTGTTTGATTTACCAATAAATATAAACTATGTAACTTGAGGAGGTAAGAGGAGCAGGGGCGGATCCAGAGTTATTTTCTGACAGTCTTCCAAAATATTTTTGTTGATCCATCCTCATTTTTGATCGTCTTCCAACAGAAAAAGTTAAATATCCGTCTATGTAAACTTGAAAATCTGACCGTCTTCCAAAAGACCCAGAAGACGGCCTAAATCCGCCCCTGAGGAGAGCTCCCCACCCCCAACCACAGAGGACACTTTAGTTGACAGTCATTTTACACATTCGCACCAGTGCTATATCTTGCTGGCATATCACCTCTATATTTCATTCATATATTGAAAACCATGAATATAGGAGCGCTAATGCAAGAAATTTTGTGCTAATATCTAGCTTTATCAAAAACATAAAATATGATTGCAAGAGCACATGGGATTTTATGTTATAAGGAAAGAAAATTGTACCAGTAAGAGGACTAGATAGATAAGAGCAGTTAAGATATCATTGAATGTGTGTGTGTCTGTGTGTGTGTGTGTGTGTGTGTGTGTGTGTGATTGATGTGTGTGTGTGTGTGTGTGTGTGCATTTTGACATTAGTAATATCTAGGACACAATAAATTGTGTCCTGGGTAATATTAACCAGTTTTGCTGTTAAAACATATGCTTCTGAAAGCGAGTTGCAACAGAAGATTATGTGATTTTCTTATTAAGGTTACTTCTTGTTCTTAATATTGATAAATCCAATTATTATATAGTCATTCCCTATTTTAGCATTCAGAACAAGTAATTCACAGACCTTACTCATATGTATTGTCATTTCTTCACTACTGTAACAGTTGTCTTCCTAAAAGATCACCATATTTTATGTAATGTCTGACACAAAATGACCTTAGGTCAAGCATACATGCATGTACTTGTTGGATAGTGACTTATATTTATGATGGTTCAGAAGCACGCACATGGGTGTAAAGGTCAATATCATGTCAGTTTTATTCAGTTATTGTGTTCTTATAGAAATAACAATTTAATTAACTTCATACAACTGAACCACATGTACTAGTACTAGTAGTTTTCTTTTTAGGGTCTACTGTTGTTTAAATAACAAGTTTTAACAGTTTCACTTAATCAAGAGATATTTCTTGTTGTGATGCATTACAAAGATGACAACTGAGATGTATTGGTGACGCTTAGTTCAGCCATGAGGATAATATTAACTTGCATTGTATTTAAAATCATGTGTTATATGAGTGGCTTGTGTGAACATAATATCACACTTCAGTAATGTTCACAGCATTGATTTCTCATGGAATTCTATTCACGTTTGCTTCATTGCTTTACTGTGAACTGGTTATTACATTTCATGGAAAACATGGGTGTTAAGTACTTGCATATGCATCTTTGCTAGCCTGTTTCTCTGCTAGCTGTAACAGACTGACAGGCGTAGGATAATAGATTTTGATATCATTTATTTGCTCTAGAAAGCTAGCAGGATCAGTCATCGATGACCTCTCTGATAGGGTGTCTGTTAATTCACTATGCTTGATATTACTAACACAAAAACAAATTTACATTTCCAGAGATCAGTTTCTAACTGACTGTACTCTGTTTTCTATTCCTCACTGGAATCTCCCAAGGTTATGCAATATAGCTAAAGATGAAAATGACTAAACTCAAATGGCAATAAATTTTTTTTATGTTTACTTACCACAAGATGAAGCACTTAAGATACATAACAGTGATTCTTAAAGCAAGAGATATTGAAGACAGTTAAGATACATTTATTTTCTTTACTACTTTTAGAGACCTTTGACACAATTAAACTGGGGCTGATTTAACTTTAATTAATTCCAGGAACTGTTTAAGATGGCTTCTCTCAGCGAAATGGTTGTAACAGCTCAAAAAATGTATGATGACATCATGCAGAAAGGAGGTGAGACATGATGTATACCACAATATGATGTATATCATAGCATTTTAGCTTCAGTAACATCTGTGACACTTCTTTTTCTATCATAAATAGATACAGGTACATTCTTGGTGCGGTGCAAAATACTCCATTTACATGGATTTTAAGTTTATTATACTAGTTTATTTAATAAACATCAAAAACAATGTGTCAAAATGATTTTCTGTATTCTCTCTTTTTGAATTTTGAGTGGTTCAAATAAATTAATTGCTTTGGCAATTTTGCACTTTTGAAATATTTTTTAAGTCCCACTGACATGTTAACTACCTTAATTTATTCATATAAATCATTGTGTCCAGATAATTTTTCCAGATCATTTTTGGCCATTGTCTATACTATCTAGTCATTATAAGCCCTTTATTTGTAGTCTTCAGAATGGCTCATTTTAATGTAAAATATTGGCCCTTTTCACTATTTTTGCTTGCCATGATAATCTTTTGTTAATCACCTCTGTCTTATTTTCAGACCCCAGGGTAGCAAACTGGGCAATGATGTCAGCCCCATGGTCAAGTCTTTTCCTATGTATATTTTATGTTGTACTCGTCAAGCTAGGACCATGGTATATGAAGGACAAAAAGCCATTTGAACTGAGAAATGTTTTAGTTATATATAATCTGGCCATGGTAGCATTGTCAACATATACTTTTACTGAGGTATGAAAAGCAATGCCTTTTACCACATATTTTAGACAAAGTGTCTGTTGCTTGTTCAGAAATTGAAATTTTAAGACACTCCATATTTTTAAAAATATTTTTATGTACAGATTCTGTTAAAATTGTGTCTGTTAAATTAAACAATTGGAATGATGTGTTTTGGGTTAAGTGTCTGTATATTTGCCAGTTTTGCTGTCTGGTTGGCAATCACATTCAGAGTGATTTCCTTCTCAAACTATGTGCATAATGTGAGTACTTTGGCCTGCTTATTCGGGAATAACAATATTCTGCTTGCATCTCCCCTGTATCAGTTCTGGATATGGAACTAATTTATCAAAATTTGTTTTCAGTTTTTATTATCTGGATGGTTAGCAGGGTATAGTTTGGGTTGTCAACCAGTAGACTATTCTAATTCACCTCAAGCTCTAAGGGTAAGCATAATAAGTTATATTAAAACTTGTGAAAATATTTGTGACACTAGTCAGTTACCACCACTTCTTTATCAGTTCTGCAGTAAGAATGTGATAGGTAGTACAATGTAAAATGTTATCAGTACTCTTTTCCTACATTATACATTTTTGTTTCAGATGGCCAGTGTGTGCTGGTGGTTTTACATCTCTAAGTTCATTGAACTTTTTGATACGGTACGTTCATACGTTCGTATATCATTGATCAGACTTGTCTGACCTCCTGAATGATAATACTGATTATCTGTAATAACTCTCATAATCAGGGGCCAGGAAATGTTAAATGAATGGGACAGTTAATCGAGCCCTCCATGCACCATTCCACAGTGTTGGCCAAAGGAATAAAAGATGACTCAACTAAATTAGTTATGTCTCTTCTATTATTAATTATAATTTTTTTCATTATTTCAGTTATTCTTTCTCTTACGTAAGAAGGACAATCAAGTGACGTTCTTGCATGTTTTTCATCATGGAATTATGCCAGTTTCCTGGTGGTTTGGAGTAAAATTTGTACCAGGTGGGTGAATCAGCAAGTAAACTGTGTTACATGTATGTAACAGATTGCATCACTCATCAGAGTTGTAGATAAATGTAACCAGAATGTACAATATATGGCAAACATGGATCCATGTTTTATATGGCAGCTGGTTGGAAGGGATGATTTAAATCCATTGTATTCATATTTGAAAGAAATTTTTTCTATATTATTTGAATCACCCCAATGTGATGTGGTGTTAGATACATGTAAGGCAAGCCTTTTAATATTTTTTTTTGTTGCTGTGATTCCAGGTGGTTTTGGCACCTTCCATGCCACATTTAATTCCTTTATTCACATGGTAATGTACTTTTACTATGGACTGTCTGCCATGGGACCTGCCTTTCACAAATATCTCTGGTGGAAAAAATACATGACCAAGTTGCAGATAGTAAGTAAAGAGCAGATGTATGATTTTTTTTTTTTACAAAGTTCAGTCAAGAAATATAATAATAGTTCAGAAAGAGGCCACTTTTTATGTACAGACACAGATGTGTCTGTACATATAGCCATCATCTGCGTCTGTCGTCGCCGTCGTCGCCGTCGTGCACTTTTACCGATAACACGATAAGTGGAAAACCATTTTACCTTTTGACTTGAAACTTGCAGAACTGATGAATATTCATAATACGCAGGTCAAGTTCGAAAATCAGCATGATCGGGTCACTTTTAGGGAATTTATGCTGTTTTTTCACTTTTTTCAGCATATATGCAGCACCGATAACACGATAAGTGGAAAACCATTTTACCTTTTGACTTGAAACTTACAGAACTGATGAATATTCATAATA